TCGACTTATGTAATAGTGGGCATGTATTGTAAACTACAAATTCAAGTTATTTTTTGGGGCTCCCGATTTGTAAACAAATATTATAATTTATGTGATTATGTATGTTAACATATGGATTTATGTAAATAAATCTTTTATTTTTAAAAGAAAATTTTTTGTCAATCACTCCAGTAGTCTGAATGACGTCATAGTCCGTTGATCTTTGGGTCGTACTGGATTAGAACGTTACACTAAGTCCGCCGGGAATCTTATCAGTATAAACTTTTATTAAAGATAGACATAAAATTTTATGGTAGGAGATGAATTTTTAAAATTTTAAAGGAAGACTATGTCAAACGTGAAAGAAATATATGTCACTTTTTTCTATTAGAAATTTACTAGATAAAACTTTCTTAGTTTTATAGGTTAGACCATATCACCTTTTTCTAGTAGAATGTAATTTACAAATAGTAGTAGGATAAAATTTTATCCAACGAACTTTATATGCATGGGTAATCAACTATATTTTTCCTTAAAACCAAAAGAGGTTATGGTACCAATGAGGAGATGCTTCTGAGAACCATAAATGGAATTTCTAGTAAAAATTTTGTTTTGTTATGAATATAGAATATGTTGTACCTTTTAAAAAAATTTAAAATTAAAGATTTGAGGGTTAAGTTTATTTTAATTTATTAAAATTAGGATCAAATTGATAGAATATATAAGTAGCAGTGACCAAATGTGTAATTATACAAAATATTTTAACTGTCACATCAGTTTCTCCATTAAATATTAATGACAAGTGGCTTAATTGAATGCATTTAAATAATTGAGTGACATGACTGACAAAAATTCAAAAATATTGTTCAAAATGAAAAGGGGCAATAGTTAGGTGGTCACGGGTATAGTTTACCCTTTATTTTAAATAGTTTATCTTTAAATTTTTAACTAATTTATAATTATACGTTGAGTCATTTAGAATTTAAATTTTTATAAATTAAATTAATAGTGCTCATCGTTAATAGTGTTCATCACTGCTCGTCGAGCGCCGTATAATTTTTCAAGCGATTATTATCATTAATAACAACTAAAATATTATGACATTCAATTATTAATTAAAAATAATATATTCGAACAATTTATCCTAGCAAGACAATGAATCATCTGTTTTACACTTTGTCCAACAAATTTACATTAACGTGAAAGATAAAATAAATTAATTTGTCCTTCATAAAAAGGAGAAGAATTATTAAACAAAAAAAAAATCTATGATCTGTAAAATAAATCATAAATAGGTAAAGTGAAAATCATTGGTGACTGAATTATCTGATAACATTGATCAGATTATGAAATAGAGATTGTTGATGGTTGAATCATATGCTATAAAAAGACAAAATAAATAAAATATAGATAATAAAAAGTAAGTGAAGACAAAGAGTGAGATGGGATAGCAACTTTCCACCATAATCAATTAAAATTAATGTCTAAAAAATTGAGAGAGAAAAATAAAAATGGATTTAAATGTCATAAAAATATAAACGTTTTGATTTAAAATATGCTAGTTGAATGAATTTATTTTAAAAAAAAATTATTAATTTCACAATCAATTAATTTGATGTTAGTTTATTTAAAAAAAAATTATTATAATTATTATTAGATTTGAATAACATATTTTACTATTTGAATAATAATGAGTTGTATCAATCCCTATAAGCTTTTATATAAACATTAGGATATTTGTCTCATTTTGGATACTACTTTAGTTTAGTAGTAACTTTTGTAATTTGAACAAGAGAAATAAAAATGACTTGGATTAATGGTTATTTTTAAGAATAAAGTGTATAAATGATCAATAAATTAAGTCGAAAAGATTTTTTTAAACCCTGAAGTTTTAGAAATTATAAAATAATTATTAAATTTCTCAAACAATTATAAAATGATCATTAAAATCTATTAAACTATTAAAAACGATCATAAAACTTATCGGAATATTACAAAATATTTATTAGTCTTATAAAAAATTATCATTATCTTATGATATACCTTGGTCATTTTATAATAGTTCGATATGTTTAATGATCATTTTGTAACCTTCGAAACATTAGTCTTACAACTTGAATCCGACAAATTTTAACTTAACTTGATTCTTTAAGATTTTTTTTTTAATTTTGAATTTAGATGATTCAAGATGGACTTGGAGAAAGAAATAGTTGAGGTCGCGGATCTAGAAATTAAAAAATGGGGGTCCAAAATCTTTTATACTTTATACTAAAAAATTTAGATATGCAAATTTTCTTATTTTTTTCTATTCTCATTAACAAATTAAACTGCATTTAATATTTTTCTTAAAATAATAAGTGTACAGTGACTTCCCTAAAGAGCCACATACATCCGCCATTGGTTGGGGTTAGGTCAATGTTGGATTTAGAGTGAAAACTCCATGGTTCGACTTGGAATAATCTGCTTAATTAACAAATTTTCAATCACTCACCATTTTTCATTCTAGCACTAATGGTCGTCATGCATTCAATCTCAAGTCACAATGAACTAAAAGCCTTCTTCCAATTCTTTCAATGTATTGTCTCAAATTTTTGAAACATTTCTAATGGAATTTTTTCAACAAAACTGTTTTAATTTGCAAGGTTGTTAAAATTAGGGTAAAATATACGAGTGACCACAAACTATAACCCCTTTTATTTTGACCACTGACGTTTTGATTCGATCAATCAGGTCACCCAACTATTTAAATGATTCAATCAAGCCACTGACCGTTAATTTTTAAGGTAAACTACACATGTGACCACTCAACTATGGTCAAAAATCATTTTGACCACCGATGTTTCATCGATTGGAGGACTAAATTTATTTCAATTTAAAGATTTACTTTACTCCAATCATGAAGTAAAAAACACCAAACCATAGGACTAAGGCATCCATTTGGTTTGCCAACAAATAATATACATTTTGTATCTTTGTAAATTATTTTTAGACAACAAATAATATAAATAATATTTTTACATTAACAAAAATAAGAATATATAAAACATGTTAAAATTTGTCTTTAATTATATAATTTAATATTATATTTATTTATTAATATAATACGAAAATTATATTTTATATTAAAATCATGATTAACATTCTAATAAAAATATTTTAAAATATAATTTTCATATTATAAAATATTAGATATATAAAATATTATATTCATATTTTTTGTTAATATAAAACATTATTTTCGTATTATATTAATAAATATATATAATATTAAATTATATAATTAAAGAAAATTTTTAATATGTTTTATATATTCATATTTTTTGTTAATGTAAAAAATAGTCTTAATTTTTATTTATTAATTATATTATTTATTGTCTAAAGAAAAATTTACAAAGATACAAAATATATATTATTTGTTGTATAAAGCAAACTAAATGGATGCCTTAGCTTGATGGTTTAGTGCTTTCTACTTCACGTAAGGAGCCCTTCGTTTAAATCCCATTAGCCCCCTTATGAATGTTGGTTTATTTTTTTGCAATCAGAGAGTGACACGTGTCATCCTCTGATTGGAGTAAAGTAGATCGTTAAATTAATAATAATAAATTTATTCCTTCAATCGAATGATGACATGTGTTATTATTTTAATTTATTAAAATGAGAACCAAATTGAAAGAATATATTAGTAACATTGACCAATTGTGTAATTATACCAAAATATTTTAATTGTCATGTCAACTGTTAACGGCAAGTATTTGATTGAAGCATTTAATAGTTGGATGGTCTGTCTGATCAAATTAAAATATCGGTAATCAAAATGATTTTTTTCCCATAGTTAGATATATTTAATGATCATTTTATAACCTTCAAAACTAAGAAAATAGATATCTTCTTCCCCTTGTCATAAGTTAAAATTAAGTAGGTCGGCTTTAGACACATTGTATCTTTAAAAAAAATCCCTCAGAAATGAATATGATAAATAAAACAACAAAAACAACAATAATAATAATAATAATAATAATAATAATAATAATAACCTCGATCCTCTGTACGTTCTTACTAAATAAGACAGTTTGTTAAAACCTTTCTAAAATTAGAATCTGGAAGAGAAAAAGAAAACACAAAACTCATTATGTCTTCTTAATCGTTCATATACATACCTAAATTTTCGACAAATATTATCTTTCGATCCAATATTATCATTTTCTTTTGACTTTAAATTGATTCCCGTTTTTGAAAAAAAAATGGGGAAAGATTTGATCTAAATGTTGCAGGCATGAGTTGATGCAAAATGTCTCTGTTTTTGCATCACACCAAGTTTTGTTCTTCTCTCATCTTCGAAGCTAATCAAATTTTAAAGAGGCTGTTTTAGTTTAGGATCAACCAAACCTTCCAAGATGTCATCGTCAAACAATAAGATGAAAGGCCTGTTAAAAGGCCTTAGATACATTTCTGAAATATTTGGTATGCAATCCCATCTCTTGCCAAATTATACCCAGAAATGGGTGTTGCAGAAAGAAAACTGGGTTTTGATAGAAAAACATGAACGTCATTGGTTTGGTGTTTTTCTCTTGTTAATAACAGTGAAAATGTGTGAACTTTAGTTGTGTTTTTTGCCCAAACAATGGATGTTGCAGAAGTTAATGATCGAGAAAGAAAACTTGTTTTTTGATAGAAAAAACATGAACATCATTGGTTTGGTATTTCTCTTGTTAATAGCAGTGAGAATGTGTGAACTTTTGTTGTGATTTTTTGCAGAAAATGAAAAAGAGCCTGAAATGCAGATTGGTCTGCCAACAGATGTGAAGCATGTGGCTCATATAGGATGGGATGGTCCATCAGCAGTAAAATATGCACCCAGCTGGGTAAATTGAAAGAACTACCATCATATTATTACCATGATTATGAGAAGTTTTTTGTTCATCTTTCTGTTTTCAATGATCAAAAGAATTAAAATTGCCCCAAGTAAAAGAAAGTCATGATTCATATTGGGAGTGAATTCTGGCTTTCATTTTTATACGCAGATGAATGAGTTTAAATCAACTCCTGCCAATACCCGGGAGGAAGATCCTAGGAAATCGGTCTCTCAAGGTCACAATTTCGATTATTCGAGTTCGAATATTTTTATCGAATCAGCTTCGTTTATGTTGATTAGTATTTGGTTTACAGATGTGATTAGCCGAGATGGTTCGAGGGATCAAAGCTTACCAGCAACAGAGACGGCAGACGTGCCTAAATCATCAAAACGTGGTTCATCTTCAACTAGGAATGGTCCTACAGGAGAGTCTAAAGGGAAGGAGAAATCAGATAAGCCTAAGAATCCAAAGAAGAGTTCCAAGACCAATTCTTCAAAGGAAACTTCAGATAGCACCACAAAGCCTAAGAAAAAGCCGAAGGAACACAAGGAGCCAAAGGAACCAAAGGACTCGGTCGACTCGGATAACCAGAAGAAAAGTAGTCGACGAAACAAGTCGAAAGAGAGTGTCGAGGGATCCTCCAGGAGGTCCAAGACCCGGGACATGGAAGCTGGATCCGAGTCAGGGTCTGTAACTGGTATCCGAGAGGATCGACTAAGTACTGGTTCAGGTTTTGAAGGAGAATTCTGAGGGGAATTGTACACTGTAAAACACTGGTAGCTACTAGCTAGAGACTCCCATTTGCTTTAGTAGAAACCAAATTCTTTCTTCTTCTTTTTTCTTGTTTTGTTTCTTTTCTCATTTTTGAGGAAACCTAACCTTTTATGACGAAAAGAGATCCATTGGAATTAATTGTTGAAACTTGGAACTGATTCAGTGATTCAGCTTTCAATGGATGCAAATGGACTATCAATTAGATCAGACTGATGACCAAGGCAATACTATGAATTGATTTTCTTCTTCTTCTGAATGGAATAATGGATAATAGTGGCTGATTCATGTCTGCAATACTAGCTTGTCGTTTGATTAATGGAGAAAAACAGAAAGCGAGTAATTACATAATCTTAAACCTACTCCAATACAAAATTCTTATTACCTTGTTTTTGTAAGACCTATCAGTGTTTTTTTTAATCTGTTACTGATGATAAACAATCAAACTATCAAAAGCCCCCAAAACAGCAACATTACATGAAAATGAGAAGCTAAAAGCCCAGTATTGGAGCCACCAACGAGGATGACAGCATTGGGAATATCTGGTTTGCTGCATTTCTTCAATAGCTTGGAGCCATGGCTTAATTTCTCATCAACACACTGTGCTGGATTACCCTTTAGCCTTATTTTTTCACCAATTTTAGCAGTGAATTCAGCAGAGAAAGGAACCCTACCATTCAGATTGTTGTTTTCCAAACTGAGTTCATTGATAAACTCCAAGCATCTAAATTCCTAAGTCACTTTCCCTTGAAGCCTATTGTTATCAAGTCCTAAATAACACAAGTTCCTCAAATGCATTCCCATGGAAGGTGGAATTTTCCCAACCAGTCCCATACCAGAAAACCCTATCTCTGGAATCTCCCCACTCAAATACACATCCTTTAACCTGGGCATTTCAGCAAGGAACAAATGAACCCCAAAGTTACCAAACTGTTAAAACTCAAATCCAAGAACTCCAAATCTTGTAAGTTACCCAAACTCTCTGGGATTTTACCAGAAAACCCGTTGGAACTCAAGTCCAGCTTCAAAAGCTGTGTGAGATTACCAGCTGCACAAGGAACATTTCCATGAAAAGCATTGGCACTCAAGTCAAGAACTTTTGAGTTTCTTCAACTTAGACAAAGTTGCAGAAACCTGTCCACTAAGCTTGTTTCTGGATAGTGTAATCTCTTCAAGAGCAACCAAATCACCTATCTCTCATCCGGGATATTCCCATAAACTCCGTTACCAGTCAAAACCAGTCCCCTCAAGCTCGTGAGAATAATGCCACTAAGAGGACTAACAAAAGTTGGGTTGTTTATAAACACAAGCTCTTCGAGAAAGTACCCGAAAGTAGTGGGAATCTGGGGGGCAAAAACATGGGTTTGGGTGAAGCATTGATAGAACAAAAGTTTGAGTAGATGTTTGCAGGAAGTGAAGATGAGAGGGCTAAAAGTTGAGTTGGAAGAGCAAGGAGGGTCAGCGTATAATCCGAAAGGTATCCAAAACTCAGTTCTGTGATGTGATCCATGACGTTTTTCGTAGCGGGATCGACGAAATAAGAAGCGAAAAAAATACCTCTATTACTCAACTACATAGAACTGAAAATTTGAGGATTAACGAAAGTACAACTTCCTATATATACAAGTTATTAACCCTTAACAGATAAACTGTTAACCCTTAATAGAATCAAACATACTTAAACCAATCCACTAAATATTCAGTTATAACATCCCCTCAAGATAGAGATTAATGAATATTGAGAAGTCCCAATTTGACCATGAGGGTTTCAAAACTTGGTGAAGAAAGTGCTCGAGTAAAAATGTTTGCCAATTGATTAACTGAACGAACATGGAAGAGTTTGATAAAACAAACAGTGACTTTCTCTCATATAAAGTGACAGTTGACTTTAATATGTTTGCTGCACTCATGGAAGACTTGATTCGTAGCTAGATGAATGGCTGACCGATTGTCACAGAAGAGAGAAGCATTCAAGACAGGAATATGAAAGGAAGATAGAAGAGTGACAGTCCATACAGATATTCTGTTTCACAAGATGAAATACTCAATGTATGTTGCTTTTTAGATTTCCATGAAATAAGACAATCATCTAAATAAGTACAATAACCGATAGTGGATTGACGAGTACCAGGACATGAGTTGTAATCAGCATCCACAAAGGCGCTGAGCTCCAAATTATTGCTTTCTGAAAAGAAAAAACGGAGACCTGGAGCATTCTTAACATATGATAAAAGATGACAAACAATTGTAAGACGTGGTTGTCGAATATATATATAGGTGAGAGAGAGAGGTAATTTTTTATGCCATATACTATAGGTTTTAGTTTTTTAAATGGTAATATATACATTTTATATTTTATTTTGTAGTGTTTCAAGTATGTATTATTTTATATAACTAGGTATGCCTATTTTAGTTAATTTATATATGTTAAAGTATAATATAATATATGTAACCCCTTTTGTCCGACCTAAAGGAAAAATGTCGGATCCAAAGGCCCATCATCTTGTTTACCCAAATCGAGCCCCAAATATCACTTTAAATACATTAAAATTTACCCTCATATTTATTGTAATCAAATATTTAATGTAACCAAAATAAATTTACAATAATTAATAATTAAAAACATATAACGAGCAGTTATAAAAAACCAAAGTTCAAGTCTCAAAGTCCAAACAAGGTTTAAATCCAATATTTCAAAATATTTAACATATTAAACATTATCCAAATAAAATAATAGAAAGTAATATCATAAAACCGAACAAATGTCATACTATGAAAATATTGAAATATGTAATAATGTCGAACTCCAAGTAACAGTTGTCCTAATCCGAGAATCTGAAAGAGAGAAACTAAGGGGGTGTAAGCTAATAAGCTTAATATGCCTCTAAAGTGCATTCAAACACAAGTAATCTCGATTCAAATAATATGCAAATGCTCATGCACCCACCTGTACTCCAATTACACCCAGAAGAGAGTGAGTTCCCCAGAACCACACTATTCCAACCCACACACCATGTAAGTGGGGTCCTCCGTAAAGACGAATGCCATTGAATATGAAAAGTGACATTTACCTCGTCGAGTGAATGCACTGAACTTCCCCTATCAGAATTCATCCCAACATAATATGCAAGATGACATAATATCTGATGTTTGATCTGATTTGAATAACAATATTTCATAAAAATTATCTGAAGCACATATTCCGAAGCATTTATATTTCCGAATCACATATCCAAGACGACAACACATTCACAGATAAAGTAAGTACATTCATGTATCGGGTCTGACAGTCAAACATGCAACACATGGAAAAATATTATGACTTTCATTTATCTCAGTCAAACTCAAAGTAAATCATGCTATCAATCATATTATCAACCAACGGAGCAAATAGAAATCATACAAAAAATATAACATCGAATAAAGAGACACACCTCGACAAATAGCTAACGATGATAACTATGTCCTCCACGATCAATTCAAGTATGAGGTCAGTCTGAATCAGTTTCTACGGCAAACAATTTAAATAAATATCTAATTCTAAATCAAATACAAAAATTAACAAACTAAACTTGTCAGTTACTAATAACTCCGTAAAAAAAGATCAGTTTTTTTACATAAGTTATTGTTTGTCAAAGCCATTGTCATAGCATTTTAGTTACATTTAGGGCATTTCATGCATGTGGTGGATAAGTTTTGCCTCGACTAGGTTTTTCTTTAAAACTGATGTTGCTGATGAGAAGGGTTGTGTGTTGGTTGTGATGATGCAAGTGATAAAAAATAATCGAGGAGTAAAATATTTGCCAAGAAAAATTTTGTGCGAGGGAAAAGGAACTGAAGATGACGTCCGTGAGGAATTTTTCACCACGGTTTATCTTGCAAGTCTGACGCAGTACACGACAAAATTGTTGACGTCCCATGGCCAGCTATCCAATGCACCTCACGTGAACCTCTACCCCTGCCAAGGATTTGGGACTATTGTTAGCTGCCAACGAAATGGGCATGAATTCAATGGTAGTTGGGGAAATTTCAATGGCACTAAAACCTAAAAATTCCCAACTATAAATAGCACATTATGCCTACCATTTAGGGGATCCCACTCTCACCTACCCTAAAAAGCTTTGGAGAAAGCGGTTGTAGTAACTTCTCCACCATTCCCCTATCATCATTCTTTGGTTTCCTCCATAGTCGGGCTTCACCAAAGTAGCGGCTAGGCCATCGAGAGAGGCTAGTGCGTTGGAGCAGTCATGGTGATGGTCTAATATCACAACAACAGTTATGTTTTTAGGAGTTTTATTCTCATTGTTTTTTATTTCTTATTTTTTAAGGGTTTGTACTTAATGAATATTATGGGTTGATTTTAGCCACACCATGAACTGTTTTATTTGGTGTTGGAGATGTTTGGATGATACTTTATTTTAGGTTTAATGGATGATTAAGTATATTTATGTTTATTGTTATCTTGTTCATTGTTTTAATCTTATGCCTTAGCAATGTAAGAGCTTTTGAGAGATTTTTTTGTGCCTTGGCATAATATTCATAGTCTTTGTAAGAGTTGTTGAGAGATAGCCATTTTTCTAGGAGTTAGGTTAGATCTACGTGAACAAGGAAACTAATATGGGATGGTGAGGTTCTAATCTGCCTTAGAGATAAGGAGGGGGGTTTCAATCGACTAAAACGGATAGTACTTAATTGATAGGCTAGGGTCGTAGTTTACGCTGAGAGGTATTGTCGTGACAATAGTTTTATCAGGTTGCTTACTAGAGATAGCCTAGACAATTAATTTTTTCCTTAGCAATTTTTATTTGTTTTCTTTTGCATATTTTTCTTGTCAAAACAAAAATTATCTGCTCATTTCACTTCACACAATTCTTACCTCAGCAAACTTTTTTCCATCTGTTCATACCATCTGCCATAGCACATTTCCTCATTTGTTCATATAATTAGATTTAGTCATTAGGATTAGTCAGTGACACGTA